TGTTCTTCTCTTTTCTTTCCAATTTCAATCTAATAACCTCCTTCCATAGTATATTTTCTGTGTGAATTCCAAATTGCTATTTCTATTCTCTATCAACCCTCTTAACCATTTTGCATCCAATGGGTCACTAAACCATTCAGACTTCTATTTTCCCAAGTTTACCCTTCCCACCCCTTTTTCCCAACCCCTCTCTTCACGCACCTTCTTCCTCCTGCTTTTTCTTCTGGTAATCTTCCTCAGATCATCTTCTTCATCTCCATCTCCTCAATCTACCAAAATACACTCAGATGCAGACTTACGAATCAACCCATCATCTTGCCCTCCACAACAACACACATCAATGGCTCTACCCACTGCTCCTTCCCACTCCCCTGTTCATTGCCATTTTCTGTCACCGGCAACAACCGGCCGACAAACAGCCCCTATCTACTCTACTCTCTCTACCGTTCCTTTCCATTTTTCGTCGCCTTCATCGCCTTCACCAGAATCTCTCTATTTTGACCATCATCGTCTTCACCATCTCTGGAATGGCATCGGCGCCTAGGCCCGCCTCTGTTTTGACCTCCATTTCTTTAACAGTYGGCAATGGCATCGGCGCGWCGAAATCGGTAGATCCYATAACATCTCCTTCCCKACGGCGACAATCCTTAGATCCCATCAACGAAATCGGTAACGTCTCATCCAGGAAAAACATAACCCAAATCCAAAAGTGAGTGAAACCCTAAATCAAAACCACAAAAAGTCTCTTCTGTATTGAAATCAAAATCAAATCATACAACCCAAAAATAAAATCGAGGGTTAAGAACTGTGATAAGAAAAGCACACCCAGATATGATTTTATGTTCATATGCAGTTCCATTATCATGAAGAAGCAGTCAATGGTAACTATTGAGTAGCCAAATTTGGGCAACAACGAGTTGGTTGGGGAAAATTCTGAAATTTGTTAAGGGTTAAAATGGTAATTTGTTGTCATTCAGAGAACAATTACCAAACAACCTTATTTCATTCTGTACTTAACCATTCTGACCTCTTAACTATTTTGTATTAAATCATTCAGCAACTGCCAAACAGCCCTTCAATCATTGCCATTGCTACTACCAGGTAAGATTTTTTGTACTTGCCATGTTCATTTGGTAAGGTAAGTGACTTGGTAAGTGCTTACTGGGTAAGCGTTTAGTAGACAACCTCTTAGTTTCTGAACTCCCGACTTCCCATCCACACTAGCTACAATCCCTACACGACAAAGATCTACTCCTTCCAACCCAAAATAAACGTCCAATATAAAAAAGACACAGTTTTAGAAATATGTGATTATTACATTTTTTAATCAAATAATCTTAATAATAGAGGGCAGTAATGAACTTCTCCACCTCATAATTAGAAGTAGAATTAGAAAGTAGACAGTTACTTTTGAATGCTGACACTTTTATTTGGGACAAACTAAAATAGAGTTGTGGACACTTATTTTGTGACAGATGCATTCAAATAAGAAACTTACAAAAACATGTTGGTATTTGTATAAGGAAATATGCACCATCCAATAACTAGTGGTGTAAATGAGCCGAGTCGAGTCGAGTCGAGTAGTAGGTTAATTGAGTTGAGCTTGAAAAATTAATACCAGGCTCGAGCTCGAGCTCGAATATTTTTTGAGTTATCGAGCTCAAGCTCGATGCTCGTTTATGGGTTCGAACTTCGTGATCGTTTAACTCGTTTATCGGCTTGAGCTCGATAATTTCTATATTTTTGTTGTATGATTAATGAATATATGAGAATGTTCGGCCTGAAAAAGTGTATGCTCGAATGACTCGTCTCGACTCGAAAAATTTAATTTAAGTTTTCGAACGAGCCGAGTCGAACATTAGGGTTATGAAACTTGGCTCGTTAAATTGAAGGAGTTCTATTTTGTGTTCGAGAATTATTAAGCTCGAGCTCTTGTTAAAATAGCTCGAATTGTTTTACACCCTTTTCGATAACCATCCGATTCTTGTGCAGATGTGAATCTATACTTCATCCTGGCCACAACTGCACTGTTCGAATCGAGACAAACAAGACAAATGCTCGACACAAAGGCAAGAAATCTAAGCATTATCCTCGAAACAACATCGTCTACACCTGCCATTTTTGCTCACAACGAAATATCAAAAGAGGAACCCCGAGAAATACATGCCCACCAAAGGCACATAAAAGAGTCCCCGAGCCTGCAAGCTCAACCAATCAGAAAACCCGTAAGACGGTTTCTTTTTTCGATAGGACTAAAAATAACGTTGTTGCAAACACTGTAACCGCTTCGTTGGGGTCCACGGGAGATGACCCCAGGGGTAAAATGGGCATTGCGGAGGTTAAAGATGATCCAGCTGCATCTGGTCCGGGTACCCCGTTGAACACGATGACTTTGCTGGAGTCGAAGATGAAGAAGAGGAATCGATCAGGGGCTAAGAAAACGACGGCATTGGAAAGTGTGACGGAGAAGTCGGTGAACACGTCTAATAGACGGCGGAGAAAATCGTGGAGTAGTTTGAAGGAGATCGCGGAGAGTAACGATAATAACAAAAGGTTGATGAACTTAACAGTTCCATTTTCTATAGGAATTTAAGGTATGTTTGTTAGTAGCTTAATGAGCTTAATGAGACTCACTGCTTATTCAGTCAACAATACAAAATTGTTTGGTAGTGGCTTAATGATATCGAAAGTAGCTTATTCAGTTAGTTTTCAGGGGGAGTTTTATGTCGAGAACCAAGTTTTTTTTTTCTTCCAAACATGTCACGCCCAATTAAAAAACATGCTTCTTTTGCTTATGGTAAAGCCTTTCATGAATAAAAACATTTACAATGTACATAGACAATTTTATCCATACAACGAGAACATTATCAAAATAAGAAAATATGAGAACCGTTAAACTATACGTGATTTGGCATTGAAATCACATGCGAACACAATGCAAAAGCGTGTGGGTCAAAGTTGTGTGGAATCATATGTGATTGTAGTGTAAAATCGCATGTGATTTGATCATTTTCATGTTCTCTTATTTGGTCTGATTTGAACCTCACCATGGTTTCTTAATGAAGGTTTTTTCTTCAACAATTATGTTATATTTTTTTTTCTTCTAAAATACAGTATCAAAAGTCAAAAATCCAAACAAATTACATCTAACTTCAACAGTTATTTTATTTTAACAATTTCAGTATTAATTATGTTATTAAAATATTTCATAAATTTATTATCCAGATATATTTTTAAAAAACTTTATAAACCTCGTTGGTGGAAACAATTAAAATAACTTATCTCTCATCTATATTAAGTTTTAGAGATTTTCTTTTTCAAATTAGAATTTTTTTACCTTAATTTATTTTAATATACATTTTAGTAAAGTTGTTGAAGTAAATAATTAATAAATAATTTTTTAGTATATAATATATAATTAAAATTAATTAATAATTAAATTAAAATTTTATATTAATTATTATTTATTAATAATGAATAGTTATTAATATTTAATGTTTATTTATAATTAACAATAATACATAACAATTAATATTAATAAGAATTATAATTAAAAAATTATTAGTTGTGTATCCGTGCAATGCGGTAGGAGCCGTGAATTTTAACGATTTTAAAGTTTCACTGATTTTATTAGAGAATATTTAACGATGATATAAGTTACACTTGGTCTTTACATATTAATACAATTTGAATAAATAAGATCAGAGTTTCGATTACATTTTATCGATGAAAAAAGTTATATGACAGTTTAAAATCCAATATATTTAAAATCCAGCATGTTTAAACGACTCCACAAATGTATTCGATTTACACCAAGAGCAAATAATCAAGAGATCGAGAGTTCTAGAACAATTGACTGAGGGAACTTTTAATAACTCATGGTGAATATCAGTTTGAATCTCACATTGGGGGATGGGGAGAAGACATAGAGGTATGAGAAGATGAAGACATGAGTGAAAGGTGTCAAAAAGTATCTCAGGAACATGAAAAGAAAAAATAATAATGTGCATTGATAACTTGTACTATATGTCATTTTAATTGTATGTTAATATATTTTAAGATTGAATGCATAAAGCAATAGTACTTAATGTATTATGAGTTATTTTTAAGACTTGTACGACTTTGTGCATAAATGTATAGTACTTTATGCATTAAAAATTATTTTTAAAACTTTTGATAAATCTGCTTTATAAGATAGATTTAAAACTTTGTACATAAATATATAATACTTTATGCATTAAAAATTGTTTTTATTACCTTTGATAAGGTAGGAAGATAATAAACTTATTAAAATATTAAAAGAAATAACGAAATTTGTAAAACTAAATTTCAAATAGCGAGAAGCCGTGAAGCGACTTCCCACCATTAAGCTCTCACCTGGAGAAGATGAGCGACAGACGGTCTCTGTCCTCCTCCGACGACGCCAACCCTCCACCATCACCACCACCAACGACGGACGAAGCTAGGGAATGGAGGAGGAAAAGGAAAATGATCGTTTACGATGAAGAAGATGAAGAAAAAGAAGGGGACCAAGCTTCATCGCCACTGAACAACGACGAGGAAGAAGACGAAGATGACAATGAAGAAGTTGGAGACGACGCGAAGCCAATTGGAAATGTTGTTAGGGTTTCGTGGAAAGGAAAATCGAGAAGGAATCATTTCAAAGGGTTCGAAGCTGATGGCATTTCTTACGAACTGGTGAGTCATTATTATTTGTTTATGATTTGCCCTATTTGATTTCATAAACTGAAAACCTTGATTTTCTATTTGAACTATTGGTGTAGTTCGTGTTTCTACTTCACCAGTTTGCTACTTTTTGTTACAGAGATCAATGTGTTAGTTAGAAGATTTCATATGAAAATCGAAGCCACAACAAAATGGAACCTGCGATTTTGAGGGCAAAATTGTATCTCTCTACAGGAAAAATGGAATATGAAGCATTTATTTCGAATTTCTAGTAATATTATGACCTGAACTGCTCTCAAATGCAATAATCTTGCTGATCTGGTGCAATAACTTGCAGATGCGATTATATATTTCTCTGATGATCGTTTCCCGGTGATCTATTAATATCAGAGAAAATTGCTGTCCAATAGCTTTGTGAATATGCTTTTGCTTCGTTTTTTCTTCATGAAATTATCTGCTTATTCTCTGATCTGCTGATTGCTTTCTTGCTTTTTTGTTGCCTTTGCGGATCTGGTACTACATTGTTGTTGATAGCACATAAAAGTATAATTATGATCTGAAAATTTTATGTTGCTTTGTTTATGGTTCATCACACACAAAAAGCAGAGAAGTAAAAAAATATAACTCCTGGCCTATCCGAATGGCCACATAATTGCATTTGCCAGTGAAGAATCATTCCAATCAGCTGTTTATGAAGATTCTAGGTGTAAAATTTGTTGTAAATGAAAAAGGTTACACCAAATTTGGTGTCCCTTAGAGCATCTCCAACCATCCGGCAAAACTTCAATTTTGCCGGTGATTCCTTTCCAACCGACCACCAAAATCTGGTATTTTTGCCGGTTCTTCAAATTGCATGGCAATAATGGCGTGTAGATTTTCAACCGGAAAACCCCTAGGCCCACGGATTTGGTGATCATTTTCATGTGGCCCAAAAATTTGGTGTTTTTAGAGTGTGATTGGAGTTTGAGGTGTTATCTTTTGGCGGCAAATTTGGTATTTGGTGTAAGATTTGGTGTCCGCGTTGGAGATGGTCTAAGACACTCTTCTATGAAACGGTGACACCCAATTCTTAACCTAACCAAACGAATTTGAGTAAATCTTACACGAAAATAAGGGCTGCAAAAGGGTAAGATGTACACAGTTCTTTTCCAATGGATAGAGAGGCTATTTCTAGGGAAACTCTGGCCCATGAAAAAGGTTTTGCATCAAAAGTTGGATATCTTACGGTATCCCGAAACTATATCTGTTATACTCCTATACTTGTATATCTCTTATGCTCTAATGGTTGTATCAGATTCATAAATGTAATATAAACCATCAAGGATTTGTGGATCAAAGTCTTTTAGGAACGTTTTGTTGTTGGGGTCCCACGTCAGCTAGATTTGTACCATTTCTCTTCCTTAATGTTGGAACTTCCTCTGCTCTTCAAGGGATCTTTTGGAGAATAATCTAACGGTATTCCATATATACTCACATGATATCAAAACCAATGTCTACCACTTTAGGGACTAGACACTCTCAGATAGTCTTTGACCGTCTAGTCCCTGTTGGAGGGGGCATGTTGGAGTCCCATATCGAGTTGTACCATTTCTTCTCCTTATATGTTGGAACCCCTCTCTCTCTCTCTCCCCCCCCCCCTAAAGGACACTTTTAGAGAGTCATCGAATAAGGTTCCACGTATTCTTGTTTAGTCGGCTTTTCTTTTTGTTGCACGAAAGCATTTTTGTACAGATCTATTAAGTGCAGTATAATTGTTTCAGTGAGCAAAGTATTATTTATTCTTTGAACGTGCAGGAGGATACTGTGCTTGTAAGTCCTGAAGAATATAGCATGAACTTGAGGCCCTCTGTTGCCATAATTAGGGTATTTCACTTTCTCCAACTCTTTCTGTACATGAAAATTACCTGGAAAGAGGAAAGTTCAGTTGCAAACCTGGTTTCCCTTGTCCGTTTATGAATAATGAACGTGAATTTTTTACAACATTCATTATGAATGATACACTATTCATGATGAATATCCCATGAATGTCTGGGACACGTGGGACACCCTTGTCTCTCCACTGGCTCACAAAGGAAGTTAGTTCGCAACTGAATCTGACCCTACCTGAAAATCTACTTTTATCGCGAATCGCTGCAAAATAGACCAGATATTTGACTTTGGACATTAGTTGCAAGTCTAAAATGCGACAAAGTTTGCGTTAGTTTCTATTTAATAGAACAAACATACATGTATGTTTCCTACCCATTTTGACCGGTTGGCGGTAGATCTTGTAACTGTTATTTACCTAGTTGTCAAGTTTTATTACAAAAACAAAAATTCCACATGAAAATCAACCGATTCCACACAGGCTGAAAACCCGCTTATCAGATAAAATGGGTACAGAATAGGAAGAATTGAACATTTATTACACCGTCAAATCCCATTTATTTTAGTATTTTACTGATATTCTCTGTTATAAAGCAGTTATTTCATTCTGTATGCAGGACATTACTGCAACGGAAGATGGGTTCGTTACCGTGACTGGACGCAGGTTTTATTGGCCTCATATGGCAGAAAAGGAACCCGGTGGAACTTGGGAATCCAGTGAAGCACGGGAACTGTTCTATAGTTTCAATAAGAGCGAGTTCCGAGCTGATAATGTTATGCACAAGTGTCGGGTGCACTTTATTCCACCAAACAAAAAGATCCCGAGTTCTAAGGAACATCCCGGTTTTATAGTTCGAAAGATCTACGATGCGAAATCTAAGAAACTCTCCGAGTTACTGGACAATGATTATGAAGACTTCAGGAAACGTGAAATCGATGTGCTTGTTCAGAAAACAGTTACCCGAATCCCGGATTGGGAAGAAGAGATCAGATCAGGAGCTAAGGAAGCAATGTCGTCCCGAAAGACCGTCTGAATCCAGTAAGTCGAAAATTACTTTTAACAATGAAATTGCATTAACATATAGTAGTATTCACTTGGGTTGGTTTAGTTTGATCTGATTTATAGGGTATGGTATTTGACTCTTGTGGAAACTTTGCTAGAAAAGGAAGTCTTGGAATTTGAATGGACAAAAGATCACTTTTTGCATATTCCTATATGACACCAATCAGGCAAGTTCCAGCTAGAGATGGGTAAATGGGTCTGGTCTGGTCCGGGATCGACTTAGGACCAACCCGGTCCGGGACCGGTTATAGGTAAGTGTATTTGATTGAAAACCAATTATAAAACTATAATAAAATGTATTTTTTTAAGTATATTTGATTGACCTAATTAGATATTTTAAAATGTATTAGAATAACATTAAAGTATTTTTAAAATTTATCAAAAAGAAATTTTTAAATATATATATAATGTTTTTTTTAATATAGGACCGGTTTGGACCCAACCCGGTACCAGGTAAAGCGTTACAACTTACAAATACCTTTAATTGGATCTTAATATTTTCGATGGAACCGGGACCGACCGATAAAAATGGCTATTTTCATTAATTTTGCTTATATAAATTATCTATAAAATTATTATATTCTAAATCATAACAAATAAATCATTACCACAAGTAAAATTATCACGAATATCTATTTAATATAAAATATTAAAACAAACCTTAAATGACATTTTGTTTATAAATAAATATTATATATAAAAATAGTTATTTTTAAATTAATAAAAATATAATTAAGGTGACACGTGGCATTTTAATTTAAAATATTATTATTTTATTCGGTATTAAAAAATGACGAAAGCTAATCACCGACAAGAAAGGGTTTATAGCTCAGTGGTAGAGCATTTGACTGCAGATCAAGAGGTCACCGGTTCGAACCCGGTTGGGCCCTTCTTTATTTTTTCTTTCTATATTCTATTTATAAGTTTGAGTGAATTACACTAGTGAACCCTGTGGTTTATTCAAATTTTGGATTTGGTCTTTAAAACAAACTATCTACATTGATCTTTTCCAACTTTTCAAATTCATAACATTTAAGATCCCCATAACCCTGTGGTCTATTAAGAGTTAGCCCCCGAACCGTTAAGAGGTAAATCTTGTTTGGTAAAAAAAAAAATCTGCCTCTTAATGGTTCTAAAACCCTCTGAATGATTTTGTATCTTGAATCTTCCTTAACCATTAAGAGCCCTAATTTCATTGTACACAATTACCAAACAATTATATTTCATTTTGCACTATATCATGAGAGTCTCTTAATCATTCTGACCACTTAATCATTCTGCACCAAATCATACAGCAATTGTCAAACAACCCCTTAACATCATCAGTTAGCAACAATTAAGACGGACAAATCAGTTTTGGAGTAAACTAACAAGGACCAAAACTGTAATACACTTTAAAATTAATTGTGATTCTTGTTTTTATTTTGATTATTATATCAATCTAATTGTTGTAGATTGTTAACAATTATTTGATAATTCAATTTAATAATGTCTCATGATATTTTAGCTGTTGGAACAATATATGTTTGTCTAGACTCTGTTGGAGGGGACATCTTAGCATATGCAAACCTATTAAGCCTTTAGCAGGGTTCCATGCCCCCACTCAACTTATTTTCGTAAGTAGAATTGTTTGTGAGGTATAAAAGATGTACCCACAAAACTTTGAGGAGTACTTTCAGATATTAGAAAATATAAGAAACATCAACCAAAAGCCAGTAAAAACTCCAAATGTAGAAAAGGCAATGTAAATTGACATTTTAGTCCTCCATCAAAATAAATATCCACCAAATATTTTGTATTAACATAATTAAAAAGGTCATTACTTTCCCTCTAAACAAGGGTAAACATGTCATTAGTCATTACACCACCCCTAAGTAAAACAAACCAATTTCACCAAAAAAAAAGTATTCCAAAGAATGCTTCATAAATTAAACAAATCAAATCCTTTTCAAGTTTTCATCTTCTTTCACCATCAATAAAACTCCAGTTTTTCTGCAGATCTGGTTTTCGGTGTCGTTTTTTGGTATTCCATCAATATATATGCGTCTAAACTTACGATCAAGAAGCGTTCTGTTTCTCTTCAAGAACCGAGCCTTCTCTGAGTGCGATTTGTGCTTCGTTTTCCCTCCCCAATGCAAATAGAGCAGCAGCTTGTAAGTAGGACGCAATATGCCAAATCGGGGATATAACTTGTGCTTGAACGGCATCGTTGAGCGCTTCTTGCGGCGTTTCGTTCATGAGATGTGACAAACTTCGGCGTGCAAAGACTGTTGGAGATACCATGGTTCCGACTTCTATAAACTGCATCCAAGAAAATGCATATGGTTTTAGAAAATGAACTGAAGGGAAAGACGAGATATTTTATTGAATGTGTCCGTGTATATATATATATATAGGGTTGGGTTCAAGTGAGAAGAAGAGTTAAGGTGAGAAACGTAAGAAAGATCCCCGCCCTTGGATACACATTAGGATGAGATGCACTTGATCAATTCCCGTGATAAGCGCAATTCATGGGTAGGCAAGAAATTAAAACTTAAAAGTGATCAAGGGTCCAGATCTCTTCTTACGCTTCTCACCTTAACTCTCCTTTTCACATGATCCTTCGCCATATGATATATATATATATATATATACAGAGAGAGAGAGAGAGAGAGAGAGATGAAGGATCGTGTGAGAATAGAAGTGAAGATGAGAAGTGTAAGAAGGGATTTGGACCCTTGATCACTTTTAATCCCAAAACAACACATGAATTGCGCTTTGTAAGAGAATTGATCTACTGCTTCTCTTCAATTAGGATTGATACAAGGTGGAGGTCTCTTCTTAACCTTCTCACCATAACTTTCATTCTCATCAGAACCCAACACACATACACATGTGTGAGTGTGTATATATATATTAGGGAGAGAGAGAGGATGAAAAACTGAAAACACCCTAAACCGTTCATCTGTATTGTATACACATATGTATACAAGTAAGTGAAAACGTTTCTTGGTTTCTATGCATGTGCGCATAACTGGAAAAATTATTTACAAGTTACTTGTATGCACATGTGCATACGATGAATGTTTACTAGGGTGTTAGTTTTTTAATTTTTTGCGATTTTTCCCTGAACCTGACCCTATATGTGTGTGTGTGTGTAACATGTGTAAGATAAGGCTAGGAGTAGGTTCATTTGAGAACCATGCAAACCAAATATTCACGATGAATATCATGAATGATGAAAATGCATGATATTCATGAAGATTAATGTTCATGAATATTTAGGTATATTCATCATCGTAAATTTATATAAAAAGGGTATTTTCGTAATTCATTTAAATGGTTTTTTCAATTTGCACAACTCCATAAAGCAAGTCTATCAAGCCAACCCAAGACACAGGTCCACACAAGCCCAGTGAATGTTTCTCATTTGACAAAATTTCGGGAGAAAATTACCTATTTGCCCATCCTTAACATTAGAAATACTAAAGGTGGTATTTTTGATCCACAAGATTCCCCTATTTTGTTAGGGTATTATAGACATTTGACTAACAATCAAAAAAAATCGCTCCGATGTCGCATGTTTAATGGGATAAAAGAAGCATTATCCTACTTGAGGAAAGTCCATTTAGCAACCGTAAATATTTCGAGATCCGTGAGAATCAACTATGCATGATTTATTCACAATAAATATACCCAAATGAATAGTTGGTTCTCACAGTTCTCAAATGAACTATTCACGATGAATATACCTAAAGATTCTAAAAGGATTAACTTCTAAAAGAGACCAAGAAACCTGTGTATAGAAGTCTATCGCGGCTTTGAAATCTTTATGGCGAAATGCCGAGTCCCCTTTCTTCTTAGAGTTCAACGTGTCCTGTATTTGATTAGTCCACATCTGGAACGAGAGCTGCAAGCCATTAAAACGATCAACCATCATGAGCAACTCTACCAAGAGAAACTTGTGTTATTATTGTAGTTTCAAGGAAATATACGGTTGCTAAATATTTTACGCCCCCGCTTGGATTTTTTTTTTGTATCCGTCTCTGAATACCACAAAAAAATCATAAAACAAACCTCAGTTGCCGCACCCTCGTCATCTTTGTACCCCAACTTCTCCAAGATTTCGTGTATAAACGTCAAATCCCTTCTTAAGCAGGCTTCTCCGAGTGGGGTTAAAGGCATAGCCGAGCCACCTTGTGGAATGCCCATTAATACATGAGAAGGCACCTGCATTATTATTACATAATAATGTAAATAAAACGTCGGTTTTACATGCGTTCTTTGTAGACCATTAAACTTATCGAAATGGGCATGCATTACCTCGGTTTCCTTCTGTAACGGAATTAAAGCGGTAACCAATGACCTTGGATTTGGTCGTTCACGTGGCTCGTATTGCAAACATCTTGAAGCTAAGCGTACTAATTCGGTTCCGTCATCGTTAGAGAATTGACCTTCCAAGCATGAGTCCGTAAGCATTTGAAGATTCCGGTCTCTTATAAGATCAAGGGCCTGATGAATTAAAATAGTATTAGTTAACGTCCAAAACGCCCTTCAACAATTCAAAACGAGAAAGGATCTTGTTGACAAAGAACAATCCCGTCAATAATTTGTAAAGATGTTCGAATCACATATACTCTCTCCGTTTCAAAATAAGTGTCCAGTTTCAAAGTGCATACTTTCCAATTCTACCCTTAAGTATTATATCGAGGAATTAATCACTCCCTTTAGTATTAAGGGTATAATGGTCATTTAGTTAACTAAAAGTGTAATATTTACACATTTCTAAAATCGTGAGCCTTTTTCATTGTGAGCAGTTATTTTGGGACGGAGGGAGCAAAATAAGTGTCCACTTTCGAAGTAAGTGCATACTTTTCAATTCCACCCTTAATTATTAGATTCAGAAATTCATTAATCCCATTAATATTAAGGGTATAATGGTCATTGAGTTAACTAAAAATGTGATATTTACACATTTCTAAAACTGTGCGCCTTTTCCATTCTGAATAGTTATTTTGGGAGGGAGCAAAATAAGTGTCCACTTTCAAATTAAGTGCATACTTTCCAATTCTACCCTTTAAATATTAGATTGAGAAATTCATTACTCCCTCTACTATTAAGGGTATAGTGGTCATTGAGTTAAACTATAAGTGTAACATTTACACATTTCTAAGATTGTGCGCCTTTTTCATTGTCAGCAGTTATTTTGGGATGGAAGGAGCAAGTAATTTAACGTGAAACGTTGCCAGCTTGGTACAAACACATATTCAAAGATTACGGGTGAGGGTACATACATGGCTAGGCGGAATGTGTTTCCCGCTTAAAAGATCAAGCAAAAGGGTGCCGAAACTATATATCACACTTTCCGGTGTTACCCTCCCTACACACAAGATTCAAGAAAAAATAAACCGTTACAGGAAAAAATATATCAAGAATTCAAGATCACGCTAGTTTCTTTACAAACCAAACCAAACCAAACCAAACAAACTCGGTATATCCCACTCAAAAAAATACAGTCTCCGGGCGGGCAGGCCCCTGGAGGGGGAAGAGGGCGGATGTACACAGACATGTCCTCTGCCCCAAAAAGTAGAACGTGTGATGAAACTAAAAAAATCATGTTCTCACCTAAGAAATTTGTTATCCATATACAAGTTATAAACTCTTATCATTTAGGGTGCGTTTGGTACACTGAACAATACAGAACAAGGATCACTGTTCCATGTTTGGCAGAACTTTTTATGTGGAACAAAGTGGAACAGACGTGCTCCACCCCCACCCCATCGAATAAGGTGGAATAGACTTACATTTTACCAATTTAACCTCAAAATAAAACATAATTCTCTTCTAAAACAACAAATACGCCACCTTTTTACATTTTATTCATTCTTTAAATTTTATTTATTGTATTTATGCTCTTAAACTTTCACTTTACCGTCCTCAAAATATTATTTTAATACAGTTTCTACATTTTGGTTAATTTATTAACTATTAATAATATAGAAAATAATATAGAAAATGTATAAAATTAAAATTAAAAACTACATGAATTTTTTATTTTGGTGTCACTTTAATAACCTTGACGAAAACTTTCTAATGATATATTTCATTATAAAAATACTTATTTTATTCTAATATAATTAAATTATACAAATTAATCAAAATAATAAACAACTCATTAGAGGTAAACTGATCGTTTTATCTGTTCCGTCATGTGCAATTTTGTCCTACCAAACGCTGAACAACTGTTCTCTCCTGGATACTAAACGCACCCTTAGGGTAGAGACAAGGTATGCGTACATCCTACCCCTAGACCTCAGCTCTGTGTGAGATATAGCCTCCCTTAAGGATGGTGATTTTGCCCCGACCTGATGGGGAACCCGACCAGTAGACTCAAACCAGAGACGGGGCCGGCGCCGGGGGATGTTACTCAAACCGGGGTCGGGGATCTCCAGTAGACTCAAACTAACGAATATTATTCATGGGGTTTGACTGGGATCAGTCCGGGGTTTGACCAAGGACGAGATGTTAATCCCCGTACCCGCCGGGGAACGAGACCGGGCCGGGGGCCATTACTAAAAGCCGGGGCTGGAGCTGGGGATTACAAAACCCGCCCCATCCCGGCCCCGTTGCCATGCCTAGCCTCCCTACCCTTAGGGGTAGTGGCAAGGTATGCTTACATCTCCCCCCGGCGCTCCCCTACCTCTATGTGGGATATACTGGGTTGGTTTGTTTTGGTTTGGTTTATACATGTCATGATTAAGAAAGTCGATACCAGTTCTCAGATACTCGGGAGGGGTAAACGCCAAGTTTGTGCTGTAACTCTTTCCGTCCCTGCTATTCTTCATCAACCCAAAGCAAGATAGTCTTGGATTTGCATCCTGCAACGTGTTTTAACGAAAACCACATACATAAAATTACGATCATCAAGAAAATTAACCGACAACCACACAAAAGCAACACGAAAAGGCGGAAACATACGTCACCGAAGACTATTCGATAGGCGTTAAGATCATGGTAAAGAGCACGTCCTTTGCTTGTACAATATTCTAGAGCTTCCGCAAGATATAAAGCCACCCGTAATCGCATTGCCCATTTCATCGGTTGTGTTTCCCCTGTTTCAAGAATTGCAAAAAAGATCCAAGCTTTTTTACTTGAATGCCCTCCCGTTAATTCAATTGAAAACGTTATCTTGTTTACCAACTTACAATGAAATAGGTGCTTTGCAAGTGTCTCGTGTGGCATAAATTCAGCAACAAGTAATCTTTCATCGCCTTCACTACAACAACCGAGCAAATTGGCTAATCGAGGGCTTCGGAGTTGACCAACCGTTTTTGCTTCTTCCTGTCGTAATACATAAAGGAAGTTGAATTTATCTGAAAAAATACGCGCTTTGAGCTCAACCAATAAAAACCCATACACAATTCTAGTTCAGGTAACCAAAATACGCGCTTTGGGATCACACTTTATGCGGAAAAACCATCGTGCTTGTGGAAAAGCGAAAAAGAACGTTATGGTTTCCAAGAACGGGTGGTTTTGGACAAATTGCGGAAATGTAAAAGCTCAAAAATACCAATTCTCCGCACTGCTTAATTCAACATCTTCACAGTACAATGGTTGGTTTGAAACAAAAAGCCAAGCCCAATAGTTCAAAAAAATTGGTAAATTACTAAACTAACCATGTCAGTTTAAAACCCTAAAGCTTACCAAAATTCATTCACTCGCTTATCTCACTCTCGCTCGTCAAGTCCTCTTTGGGTGCGTTTGGTACACTGAACATGACATAACAAAACAAGGATCACTGTTCCACGCTTGACCAGACTTTTTTATGGAACAGAGTGGAACACGTGGAGCAGACGTGTTCCACCCCCACCTCCAGAACAAGGTGAAACAGACCTATATTTTACCAATATAACCTCAAAATAATTCCTTAATTCTCTTCTAAACCATCAAATACACCTCCCTCTTTATATTTTATTCATTCTTTCAATTTTATTTATTGTATTTTATGTTTTTTAAACTCACTTTACCGTCCCCAAAATATTGTTTTTATATGGTTTCTATATGTTGGTTAATTGATGTAATTTATTAAATATTAGTAACAATAAAATAATATAGAAAATGTATAAAATAAAAATTGGAAACTACATAAACTTTTTATGTTGGTGTCACTTTAATCGTCTTGATGAAAATTTTCTAATGATATATTTTGTAACAAAAATATTTACTTTATTATAATTTATTAAAAAAATAAATTAATCAAAAGATATGAAAGATATAAACAACTCGTTATGGGTAAATTGGTCATTTTGTTTGTTATGCCCTGTCCAGCTTTGTCTTACCAAACGCTGAACAACTATTCTATCTTGTCCTTTAAGCACACCTTTGTGTACCAAACGCACCGTCACAAATTTGTATGTCTACAGCCTAAATCAAACTCCGTAGCCAACACAATTTTATGAATAAGAACATGCGGAATAGAACTTTATATATGTATTTACCAAAAACTGCCTCGAATCAGGCCAAGCAGCTCTATTAAACCGTTTGACGGCAATTCGCCTCTGGTTTTCCAACTTCCCTTTGTACACCACATTAGGGGCTTTCTCCCCGTGTTCAGAAACAATATTCTCGACTGCAAATCCAGATGTCGCTGTCCTAAGCTGTTCAACAGAGAATTCACGAAACAGAGGCAAATCGCTTGCCTCCCCCGGCTCGTTTTCTGAAAAACCAACAATCATCATAAGCACATAAAATAAGCCATTTTCTTATATAAACCAAACCGAACGAGCCCAGTATATCCCATCCAAAGGTGTTGGTTTTCCATTAAGTTCTGTATGGATAAAGCTATCTGTGTGGATTAGTTTGTCTATATTGATTGGGAAGGTTTTTGTTTGGGAGGGTTTTCTCATAAGATGGAATGAGCATGTTTTTAGTTGGGAATAACGGATAAAAACTTGGCTTTCTGCATAAAGCTCCCCCTATAAGCTTACTGAATAAGCCACTTTCTATATCATTAAGCCACTACCAAACATTCATGTATAGACAGTATAGTTGAGCGAATAAGCTACGAGTCCCATTAAGCTCATTAAGCTGCTAACAAACAGGTCCTTAGGGGCAGTTTGGATAGTTTTCCATTAAGTTCTGTATGAGTAAAGTTGTCTGTGTGGATTAATCTGTCTATATAAATTGGGGAGGTTTTTGTTTGGGAAGTTTTTTTATAGATGAAATGAGCATGTTTTTTAATTGGGAAGGGCTGGTTTGGAAAAAGCTTTGGCTTTCTGCATAAAGCTCCCCCTTAGAAACTTACTGAACAAGCCACTTCCTATATCATTAAGCCACTACCAAACAGTCACGTATAGCTGACCGAATGAGTTGGGAGTCCCATTAAGCTCATTAAAATGCTAACTAACAAGCCCTAAGATGTATGTAAACCTAGCCTCTACCTCAAGAGTAGAGCGACCGTTTCCGTGAAGACCCCCAGCTTGTGGAAAGTGTGCAAAAACGAAGAACGCATACAAGATACCATTAAAAAAGCTAGTTACGGTTAAGCAATAACATACCCACATGACGAGCTCCGACTACCACTCCATCTTGTTCAGTATCGCAACACGAACACATTCTAGAAAACTCGCACCCCATGATTTCAAATATCGGTCAGCAGCTGACGCCTACTCGAAATCTTTAAAATTTTCTTGATAACAAAGCTTCAGAAACAGTCAATCCAGCTTCTCAAACACTTGGAAACTCCACTTCTTCCCACCATTAAACATCAAAAACACCTAATAATTTGCATTGCAATATGAGCCAACTGTTAACTCCCAGTTCTTGTAATCCTCCAAGATTCGAAAACAATCAAGAACACACACAAATTCAACAATTAACATATCAAAATTTATCAAGAATCAAAGCTTTTTTCGTACTCGAACTCTCCAAAACAACACCAATTTGCAAAATCTCAACAAATGCATCCATAAACTCCATTGATATCCATAAATGTAGCATGCCCATCAAGAAAACCCTTAAATTAGCAGTAACCAATTACAGGAATCTTATTAGGGTTTCAAACTTTAAGAACCCAATTCCTAAAATGCTCCTAAATTTACAGAAATTAGATAATGAAGTGGCGAAAAAGATTCAAAACCCAGAAGTTTCTGCCACTTAAAACCTCCGAATCAACATCGGTTCGCATCCATTAACTTGATTGATCTACAAATTTCATTATTCATCGATGAATGCAACATTTAAACAAAAAACAACCTTGTAATTAGCAGTAATCAGCTACAAGAAACTTGTAATTAGGGCTTCAAAGATGAAACCCATGTCAGTACAGCTTCAAAGCTTCCGATCAAACAACACCAAGTTCAAGAAATTGGATCGAATCAAAACCAAATATGAGTAAACATCAAGAAATCTTTCGAACCTTTGGTTCAAATTAGATGAGCGGCGGCTGTGGATTCTCTCGGACCCAGTTGGGTCAAAGGGAGAAATGGGTCTTCCAAGATTCTCTTTCTTTTGTTGAATGGATGGATCAAAGATGAAGAAAAGGAAGACAGAAGTTGGGTTGAAATGGGAAAATCTTGATATAATTGTGTATGAAGATCCCTTTTGGCATTCAAGTGTGCACACGATTACTCATTTCAACTTTCCACCGACAACATTCTCATTTGTATTGTTTTGACAAGTCCGTAAACCAAAGCCAATTCCATAATTACTTGGTAAATTGAAATAAACAACACGGAGAAATGTTATTTATAAGCTCGTGTTTGGTAAAATTAGCTGATAAGTTAAGAGATAAATCAAATTGTTAGTTGACAAGGAAGATGATATATATACCCACGTACTGCAATGTCTTGTTTTCGGCGCAGTCGTGAACACGGCGGCTTAACAGGCGTCGAACCCTAGAAACATAATAAGCTTATTGGCAATAAACTCAAGAAAAAGAGAAGAATTCTCCGGCTTTGATTAATACTAATTAATACCTTAAGAGGGCGTTTGGTTTGCATAATGAAATTTGGTGGAATTGGATTCATAAAAAGAATTTGACTTTGAAGAAATTGAAATGGAATTTGACCACGCGTTTGGTGGGTAGTATTTGGAATGGATTCTCTTAAACAATTGGAATCTCCATATTTGTTTGAGGGGAGGGTGGGGGTGGCAGCTGTGATGACGGGAGTAGTACTTCAATCTACGAGTCCAAAAACTCTTCAACACCCATCATCTCATAAAAGTAAGAAATATAAGCTTTCATCTGGTAATCGTGATCAGTGTGCCAAGGATGTGGTTATTCGACTTCCTCCTCTTCTTTGGCTCCAGAACTTGAACTACTAACCCGATCACCTTGCCCATCTCTTCTGTCGTTGTTGTCGTTTTTTACGTTGAGATGTTTTGCGAAAGTCATCGTCAGAGTAGAAAAGGTTGTGGTAAAAGCCACAGTAATCCCTTGTAGATCTATTCTTATAGCTTTCATCCGCTAATCTCGATCATTATGAAAATCGTTGAGCGTGATGAACTTCAAACAAAACGGGCTTACTAGCCCAAAACAAAAATAAAAAGAAGAAGTGATGAACTTCAAACAAAACAAAACAAGTGATTAACAAGAAGAAGCCCAAAACAAAAATTAAAAAAAAGGATAAAAATAATACATTGTTTTGAGGCCCAAAATGAGCCCAAATGACCAAAAAGTCGTTCGTTGCCCCGTTTCGCTTCAAGAAACATGAAGCGAAACATGCATTAATAAACCACAAGGGTTATGGGATAGTGGAATATCGCATCTACCCCAAGGTTCTGTTTCAGGGGTACACAACAATTGAGTTTACTGAGTTTATCAAAGCTGATTTCTTGCAGTCACAATTTGCCATGATTAGTCCAGGCATATTTTGAGACGCCCTTCCAAAAAAATGTTATAATAGTAAATTGGACACCCGTCGTCAAATCTAGAGCAGATGGGTTTGGTCTGATAACGCTCCATCTTCTCTTCTGTTCTGTCCCATTCATTCTACATCAGTTTTGTAAAAATTTCAAGCTAAAATTACCTATTTGACGAGTCTTGCCATTACAATTACTAAAGGTGTTAGCTTTAATTTGATGTGTGCTCCCCTAAATTAATGAAAAGCAGTTGTAACCTACCAGTAGTGTCATTACATGTGGTATTACAGGTTGCAAGTACGAATCTCTTTGGTTCACTTTTACTTTTTTTGGTAAGTTTGTCATTTTAATGAAACCGTGCTTTTTAAAATTTTGTTTTATTTTATATTATGCGAATTATTTTGTGCCCTCGTTTGAAATATTTTTATCCACCTCTTAATACGACAAAGATAAAAAGAAATAAACCATTCGTAGAACCCTCGTCATTTTTATTGCCCAAATTCACCAGGAATTCGTGTATGAACATCAAATCCCATTTAATTCAAATTAATTTCGTTTCGTTCTCATCATTTTATAACCTACAATTTAACCATAACCGTTGATCAAAGAAATATTGAATCTATAAAATTAACATTATTTACTTGGTTAACAAATGATTGTAACTAATGCCCCGTTTACTAATCTCTTACCACCTCTTATTGATTAAGAGATGCTAACTTGGGTAAGAGCTAAAAGTGTTTACTAAAAGAAAAATCAACAAGGATGCTAACCGATATCTAACCGTCCTCTTACTGGCGTCAGATAAAAAAATGAATCTTACCATGGTAAGCGGCATAGTTTTCTTATTTACCCCGTCCATCTAAAAACCTAGATCTGCTGATTTCTCTCTGCTTGCTTCAAACAGGTATCACCCTTTTCTCTTATCTTTTCTTTCGATTTCTTCTTCCTCTTCTTGATTTCTAATATCACAGATGCGGTCCTTCCTTCTTGTTGTACGATTTCATAAATCTACAAAGAAAAGAAAATGGACCCTTCGCGATGCTCACGAGTTCAAACGAGCAGCCAACTCTCAAGCAACGGTAATCGATCTTCTTCTCTGTTGCTGCAAGTTCTACTCGTTTTCTATACCTTTTTGTTTATATAATGCTCGGTTTTTCATTCTCTATTCTCTTTGAGTATGGGCGTTGTGTTTCGACTTTTGCATCAGAAACTCATCTACATTCCATTTGTTCTAAAGGTTCCTGCAAAAAAATTGGTAAACAACCCTTTAATTAATTAGTTAAATCATATGTGTGTTTGTGTATAAATGTTATATGGTATTTGGGATGTTTCAAGAAATCTTGGATGTTGCATAAAGTTGGAACCTTTTATTCCATGTAAAATTGGTATGTTTTTTTCAATATTGTGTGTCAACCAATTATATTTGGTAGGTAACATCTTATGTCATGTATTAACCAATTGTATTTGATACCAATTTACTTCGGCAGGTACATGTTGGTACAAGTTTTGTATCAACTTCAAGTTATATATATGAAAATATGCTATTATGTTCAAATTTTGAGTGACTATTTGAGTTTTTTTTTTATTAACCTAAATATCTAACCCGCTATGTGAGCCGACTAATCCTAAGATGACCACCCATCGCATTTGCACCTCCATGGCCACAAAGATATTTTTATTCCTACTTGGATTCGAACTTGTAACCTCCAGACACTTTTGACGTTTGGAGCTCAAGCTCAACCCAATCAGGCACCACCCTTGTGGTTGACTATCTGAGTTTTTAGGTAGCACACGTGATGTTTCAGAGGTTTTTAGTTGCAAGTAATAAAACCTGAAAACATCCAAATGTTCAAACAAAGATACGTAAAGCTACAAAGTTTAACATTCAACACATAAAAACTTCAAAAACTAATAAACAATCAAATAACTCCACCAACCAAGTTTACATATTTGTACGGTTATTACCAACCAGTTGTAATTGATACCAACTTAATCGTAACAGTTGGTACACATGTTGGTTGGTTTAGTTTGGTTCAAAAATACCACCCCCGTTCAACACCATCAGTTCTGCGACTCTCTCGTTACCCCCATTTCACTTGACAAAACTTCACATACATAATTCAGTATTTTTATCAGTATCGTCTTATCTCCCTGATTTTTGTTTCAGTTATTTTGATATCCGAGTCTAATGTTATCAAAGATGGAACAATGTCTTATTTGAGCTTTAGAACCATAAAGACCATGGTCTTTTTTTGGCTGAATGGGGCCAGTTGGTGAACCACTTGACCTACAAATGCATTTAGGGCCCCTTGAAATCTACATCATCTAATTCTAACCCCCCATCACATGCAAAAGGAACCAACCCTTTTTGTACCAAACTCAAACCAATTACCAAAGTATTAGGTATGTGGGTCCCTCATAATATATAGTTGGTTTAAACCAGCTCGTTAAATGATGAAGATCTATTCTTAATTTTTAGCTGTGTTTTTTATATCTGTATTATAAAGTTATGTACCCTTTTAAAACATGTTCATTATACATTAATTAGAATGGTACTCGTGTAATACATCGAGACATATCTCGATTTCAATGTTTCGTTTTATTTTTATTTTTTATGTCGATGTAATACAGTTTTATATGGTTTTGAGAAAGCGATAATGTTTTTGTTTTTTAATAAAATATAAATTCGAAAATGTCGTAAAATTTTGAAGAAGAAAAATATCGATATTAATATCAAATTAACTATTTAAAAGTTATTTGTTTTTTGTGTAATTTATTTAATTCAATTTTTTATTATAATTTAATTTAGGTTTAGTAACGAAGTAATTTAATTTAAATCTAATAATATTTTTATTATAAAGATAATAATTAAGTATTATGTTAAAGACTCAATAATTATCCTAATTATATTTTAGATTTTATATATTTAAAACGAGATGTTTTTCCTGTATTTGATTGTGTTTATCCGCAGTTAGTTGCACGAATTCAAACGTGAAGTTTTAATAAGTTGTACTTATGCATAATTAACTTGTAATCTTGAATTTTAAGTAACATACAAATAAACATTAATTTATGCATAAAAAATGATTTTTAAGAATTTTTGTTAAATACTTTATAATACAGTACAAATAATAATAAACAGATAACAAAAAATTTATACAAAAGGACCAAAGACAAGAGGGTATCATGCCCTACAACTACAATATAGTCACTTCCCCACTATGCATCTTTTTAACTCAAGCACCCACCATCATTTACTCTTCAAACCCCAACCACCCCATTTCTTTATTTATTTCACTGTTATCTTTTTGAACAAATTATATGAAAAAGTAATGTATTTTAACTTGATTTTTATTTTGAATAACGTAGTTTCAAAACTTTTATTTTTGTACCTAAGATATAAAGTTTTAAACATTTAAGTGCCCGGGTAACCGGTTGAAGACTAATTTTAGATTAAAAAAATTCATGTCACTAACCACGTCAGCAAATAATACTGAGTTGGATACCACATCACTCGCCATATCAGCATGATAACCGTCAATGCTTCAACTGGTTACCTGGGTACTTAAATATTTTAAATTTTAAATCTTATGTACCAAAATTGAAATTTTGAAAATACGTTACCTAAAGTAGGAATCAAGTTAAGGTACGTTACTTTTTAATGCAATTTGCTCTTATCTTTTTATAACATTTTTATTAACAATCAGATCAAATGAATCCAACAAATCTCAACCCCAACAAATAGAGAGACTGTTTTCATGAAAATATGTGATATTTTAGCAATATTAAAATATTTACATTAATTTTTCTTGATGGATATGATATTAAATGTCCTAACTTTATGTAACCATAATATTGGAAAAAAAAACCCACAAAGGTGATGTCTGATTGGTTTGAACTTGGGCTTCAAAAGTCAAAAGTGTCTGGAGGTATAGGTACAAATCCAATGAGGAATAAAAATATCTTTGTGACCACGGAAGTTCAAATGCGTTGACTCTGGGCTACCCGCAAAGCTGGTGGTCGTCGTGTAATTAGTCAACTCGCATAACGGGTGGATATCCAGGTTAATAAAAAAAACAACAATTACATATTTATAATTTTTATACAAATACTGAATTCAAAATATACCAGTTATGTACTCGTCGGTTTAAAGAGATGTAATTTTTTTTTAAATCAATAACGAAAAATCAGTGCAATTTAGGGGGTGTTTGGTTTAGAGGTATTAAGCGGTAATCAATGAGAATGAAAAGAAAAGAAACTGTTTGTATTCTATAATATAATGGGCACATTTTTCTAGAATCCCAAAATTTATTCCGGGTTAAACTGGGGGGAGTGAAAATTCATCTCCATTTTCATTCTCTGTCATTTTCATTTTCATTCTCTGTCATTTTCATTTTCATTCCTCAGTATTAGCCAAACAGACCATTAATATTGAATCTAGATTAAAAAAACTGTAATCGTATACGTCTAAACATAAATGATTAGCACTCAGTAACAAGATAACAAGTTAACAACAGAAAAAATCAGATACTTAAAACCTATTAGATCAAAGCACTATGAAATCAAAGCGTTGGACTTCTTTTATATGCACGCATTTTGTATGCATGACCCGATTTCATTATCTGTTTCTTTTTATTTCAGTTGTAGATGACCATCAGATAATAATTCTTAATGTATCAGTAATTGAATGACCATCAGATAATAATTCTTAATGTATCAGTAATTGAACCACAAGGATGGTGTCTTGATTGGTTTGAGCTTGGGCTCCAAAAGTCAAAAATGCCTAAAGTTTCTAGGTTCAGATCCAAGGAGAAATAAAAATTCTCTTGTGGCCACGGAGATTTAAATGCGATAATTCCAGGCTACCTACAAAGTAGGTGGTCGCCTTGGAATTAGTCGACTCATATAACATATTGGATATACAGGTTAATCAAAAAACATGTATCATTAATTGCTACTTAATTTTTTACATGTAAATGTTAAATAAGATAAAAAAAAACATAATATTTAATTTAAGAAAATATTTCAATATATAATTTTTTATTAACCTGAATATCCAACCCGTTATGTGAACCGACTAATCCCAGGACGACCACCTGCTTTGCAGATTGTCCGAAGTCATCGCATTTAAATCTTCATGACCACAAGAAGATTTTTATTTATTTTTGAATTTGAATATGAGACCTCCTGATATTTTTGACTTTTGGAGTCAAACTCAAACCAATCAAACACGTGGTTCGATATATAATTTTTGTTACCAATAATAAAGGGGTGGACTAAATGCACCCCCATGCATTGCTTAATGCACCTTTATCCATGAATTTATTCCTCACACACATCAACATCAATACATGTTTTTTACATTCTCAATACTTAAATGACCCGATTCTGACATGAAAGGGGATGCCATTAGCACTCCCCATAATAAAATAACATTTTAAATGTGTAAGGTTTGACAATGATAATACCTTTGATGACTTTTTGCAACTCCTTTATTTCTTGATTTTTTATTCTTATAAAAAAGAGTAAATTGCACTTTTAGTCCATGTGGTTTGTTGCAAGTTATCATTTTATCCCGTAATTTTTTTAAATTACGGTTTTTATCCCTATACTTTATAGTTCATTGTTATTTTTTGTCCATTTAATTTACGGTTCTTCTTGTTCATCCTTCGTATAAAAATGGTTTACAGGGACTGAATAGGAGTTAGACTCACGGACCAAAATAGCTGCCCGCACAGATGTTAGGTTAGTCAGGTTGAAGGTGTTTAAACAATCCAAGTCAATTTTATAGTTTGAAAAGAATCTCAATAGAACCCAACTCAAATAAAAGTACAACCCGACCCAATCGGAACATGAGGGTTGTTAATGGTTGGATTGATCGTGTTGAAACTTTGGTACGTTATTTTACTATTTAGCTAAGTTATCATGTTTAAATGAAGTAAAATTAAAATTATAATATATATATATATATATAGAGAGAGAGAGAGAGAGAGAGAGAGGAGCGATCAAATGCAAGCCACCCATATTTGTACAAACCATGCAAATCATCTTCATCAATCGATTTTATTATTTAATCTTATGAATTTTTTTCATAAAATTGTTTGATCATATGAAATTGTTTCATATAATATTTTTCTAGATGAAGTTGTTTCATATATGTTTGTGAAATTGTTTCATATAATATCTGTGAAATTTTAATAAAATTGTTTCATGTATTTCTTTAAAATTAATATAATGAAGATGATAATATCCATGATTAACACCATTCACAATAAAACGATTAATCAATCTCTTATAATTGCAAAAAAATAAAAAATTACGATTGGTTGAATGAGATTTGTACAATTTATACAAATAACATGGTTTGCAAGGTAAACTTCCTCTCTCTCTCTCTCTCTCTCTCTATATATATATATATATATATAGAGAGAGAGAGAGAGAGAGAGAAAGAGATGAGCGATCAAATACAAACCATCCAATTTGTACAAACCGTGCAAATCTCATTCACCCAATCATAATTTTTCATTTTGTTTATTTTTTTGTAATTATGAGAGGTTGATTAATCATTTTTATTGTGAAGGGTGTTAATCATGATTCATGAATATTATCATCTTCAATATTTTAATTTTAAAAAAATACATGAAACAATATCATTAAAATTTCATTAAGTATTATACGAAACAATTTCATAACCATATATGAAACAACTTCATCAAGAAAAATATTATATAAAACAATTTCACAAGTTTAAACAGTTTAATGAAATTTTTTCATAAAATTAAAATGAAATTGACGGATGAGAGTTTTTGCACGGTTTGTAAAAACTGGGTGGTTTGCATTATATCACTCACACACACACACACACACACACACACACACATATATATATATATATATATATGACTAACAATTACGTAAGAGATATGCATAACGTTTTATATTAAGGTTAATAATTACACTCCATTTCCTATATATATTAATAATATATAGAGATATGGTTACTTAGGCTGTCATAACATGCTGCAACAAACTCACAATTCAAAAAACAGTAACAAAAACCAACAGAAAAATATATGTATTCAAAGTTACAAGTGTACTAAAACAAGCAACAAACTCAAAAAAAGAAACTTGAAGATTCATACAATTATCAAAATAAAATTACGATTGAAACTGTGATATAGTTATGAAGAGACTGACTACGAGTTGCTCTAATGTCTAATGTACATATATTAATGCACGACTTAACAATTATATTAAATCCATGGTACAAGAAAGTATAAAGTTGGGTTAAGATTCATTATGAGCAATCTCTTCCAGTTTCACAGTGTCTATATCTGATATCTTACCCCTTCTTGTTCAGGGTCCTCTAGAACTACAAAACAAAACGGTTCAGGCTGACTAGGTCCAGTTGGATCATTCCACTAGCACAATGAATGTCCTACTCCCCCATTTTCCATTGCCATTACTGATACCTGACCTCGTCGGCTCGACATTTTTGCAAACACCGACCCAACCCTTACTCAATAGGGCAATTCAAAGAGGAAAACAAGGACACCTGGCTAGGGACGGACCCAAATTTTTTTTTTTCAAATGGTGGCACCATTTGACTATAAGAAAAAAAACTATAGCGAAAAAATTTTAAACAGTGGCACCGGTTGACTATAAGAAACAAATATACGGAATTTTTTCCAATCGGTTGCACTATTTGACTAAGAAAATGACACTAACAAGATTTGAACTTGGGTCTTGAGTGTAATAAAAGTCTTGCAAACCAACTCTACCCTATAAAATATATTCTCACTGTAGTTTCAAAATACATACGGTGGCACACAACAGATTAATACAGTTACACCTTTCATGAACCTAAATTTTTTTACCAATCGACGGAGAAATAATACGGTGGCACATGCCACCGTAACCACCATGGTAGGTCCATCCATGCACCTGGCTACTACTGAAAGTCGAACTACATTCAACTGCCTCTAACCCAATATTTATGGTTTAGATTTCTTACAACTCGATTATATATCGAGCAGCTTCGCTTTGAGTTGAACTGGGTTATCTCAAGTTGGATTGGTCAAGTTAGTCGGTGTTCTGTACAAACGAACTGTAAACTATAAAAACGAAAACCAGTAACTTTAAAACCACTGAACAAAAGTTGCAACTGTTAACAAACTATAGGGACTAAAACCGTAACTTAGTGTATAGAAAAAAAAAGGTTTTGTACTTATAATTCAAAAGACCCGAAGCCCGTTTCACTTTTGTCTTTACCCTCCTTCCTCTTTCCCTTTCCCGAAACTCCCTTTTCCTTTATCGTTTTCCATCTGCAATTTCAAATCTAGGGTTTTTCCTTTTCACACCCACAAAACACACCTTGCGAAAACACACACCCTTTTCATCGTCGTACACAGGTTTGCATCGTCTAATTGCTTCTCTTTTTCTGCATTCTTTCGATTACAAAACCCTGTTTTTTTGGTCTATGATTTCTTCGTGTAGAGTAGACCTCGTAAAAAGCTTCAATTCTTTTTGGGGCAAAAGTTGTGATCTTTTTTAGTTTCTTGTACTTTTCTCTGTGTTCAAAATCGATTTCAGCCACTGTTGTTTCTTGACGAACCCATGTAAAACCCTTGTTAAAATTTCGTAAAATTTTGGTGGGTTTCTCTTTAAATTCTTTGATCTCTTGTGTTTCGTGGTCAATTTTGGGTTTTAGGGTTGATTTTGTTGAGGGAAATTAGTGTTTTTTGGTTGGATTTTGGGGGTGGGTGAAAGATTAGTGGGTAAATGCATGGATGGAAGGGAAGGTATGCCATCGTTTTATCTCAATAGAGGGTTTCGTGGGTCGGGTTCAAATGCCGGGTCGGGTAATCAAGTTGGTGGGTTTCATCTTCCACCACCTGGTTTCAAGACTCAATCAAACCCTAACTTAGCCCCCCATGGTCATGGCAATATGGGGGTAGGGGTAGCCCCCCCAATGGGTCTTCCATTTCATATGGAACATAACCCATCTCCCAATTTCCCTCATGGCATTAACATGGGTGGTGGTGGGGGCGGTGGAAATGGTGGTGGTGGCAATGATGATGTTGGTGGAGGTGGAGGTGGTGGTGGTGGAAATGATGATGTCAGTGGTGGTGGTGGAGTTTCTATTCCTAACCCTGGAAGTGGGAGTGAGTCTGTTGTAAAGAAAAAAAGAGGAAGACCAAGAAAGTACGCCCCTGATGGCTCCCATATGGCATTGGGGCTAACGCCCGTATCCCCGGGGGCGGGGATGGGGACGGCAGCTTCGCATGACCGAAGCTCACCGCCGCCACAAAAGAAGAGAGGTCGGCCTCGTGGTAGTGGACGGAAGCAACGCCTTGCAAACGTTGGTACGTTTTTGAAGTTGCTTTCTTTATTTCTAATTGGATTTTTGTGTCATTGGGATGATATGTAGATTGTTTCGTGTCAATAATTTGTTAGAGGAATTTCTGTTTGCACCAAATTTTACATCGTTTTTGTGGAAATCGTGTAAGATTTGGTGTTACTCATCATAGATGCCCTAAGGCATTGGTTTCGCTTGCTTATGGCAAGATGCGGTATACCCGGGGGCGGGGGCGGATTTAGTATTAGCCTAGCTGCCTAGGGAGTGCCACTTCCCCGTTCTATCGGGGGCGATTCAGTAATGGCCTAGGTGGTACACTTGTATGTCATTTTAGATTAAACCATACTTTTTATAATTAAGGTTGTTATATTTAATATCACGCTTAGATATTTTTTTGGATCGACACCGTTTTGTGTGAATCATGAGGCTTTTAAAGTCATCGAGGGGGTATTTATGGAAACAACCACTCTACACGCGTACATCTTACCCCAGACCTCACCTCCGGGTACGGTATAGCTTTCAATAACTTGCATTATGAGAGACATTGAAAAAAACGCCCTCAGGGGCTCGGGGGGGGGGGGGGGGTTGTTAAAGGCATGCTATTGTTAGTGTGCTATTGGTTACCCTTATCGTAAATCTAGTTGATTTGGTGGTTTCGTATTTGCTTAATGTGTTTGCTGCTTTTTGTTTGGGCGTTAGAAGACGGGTAGTGGGTAAGAGTCGTAAATATCTTGGAAACTGCTTTTCTCTGTCTGTTGGGACAGAGGTAAATATCATACCCTGAGACCCTACCTTCGGGTTGGAGATACTGGGTTCATTTGGTTTTGGTTTACGTAACTTTTATTTTAGAATTGAATAATCTTTTTCATTCCTTGGAGGGTTTTCCGTCGTTTTCTTGTCCAAATGACATTTTCTTTCTTTAGGTGAATGGATGCATAATTCCGCAGGATCGGCCTTCACACCTCACATCATCCACATATCGGTTGGAGAGGTACGTGATAAGTCTTTTATAACCAATACACCCTCGATATCAAAATAAACACAACTTTATGAAAGTGTTCGACAATCGTTTAGAAATATGTAATTATTATACTTTTTAATAAACTAAATGACAATTTTACCCTTAATAATAGACGGAGCATGAATTTGTCCGTCTGTTGATTAAGGGTAGAATTGAGAACAAGATTCTTATCAAAATAAACACAACTTTATGAAAGTGTTCGACTATCGTTTAGAAATGTGTAATTATTATACTTTTTAATAAACTAAATGACAATTTTACCCTTAATAATAGAGAGAGTAATGAAATTAAGGGTAGAATGGGAAAGTAGATACTTACTTTTGAAAGTGAACACTTATTCTGGGACAAACTAAACGATTGATCTACTTGAGAAAGCTTATTGTGAAAGTATGTTGCAGGATGTTTCAGAAAAGATACTTTCATTTGCTCAACAAAGGCAACGAGCTTTGTGCATTTTGTCGGGCAACGGTTCGGTTTCTGCCTTGACGTTACGTCAGTTTACGTCTACTGGTGGGACCGTGACGTATGAGGTTGGATCACTTGGTCTTTTTTAAGTATATAATATTTATATACAACAATATTCACGCACACGTCGCACCTTTAATGACCTCCTGCGCTCACGATAACCTGGGTACCGTTCGGGCTCGGCTCACCAAATAATTCGAGTCTTGGCTTGTCTCATTGTAAGTTTTTTTTGTGGGCATCTATAGGGACGTTTCGAGATACTATGCTTATCGGGCTCTTATCTACTTGCGGAAAGTGGTAACCCCCGTAACCGAACCGGTAGTCTTAGTATTTCCGCCTGTAATGCGGATGGTCAAGTCATTGGCGGTGCGATCGGCGGCAAACTTATTGCATCGAGCCTAGTACAGGTATCATTTTCACCCCGTATAATTTTTCGTTACTCGCTCATATCATGTCGAATTGCCACGAAATTTTGCGTGAGACGTTATAACGCGACCAAAAGAGATTCCTCTAAAAAGAACTCGCTTTCGGCAGGTGGTGGTTTGTAGTTTTGTGTATGGTGGCGGAGATAATTCCAAGGCAAAGACCGCGACAGAACCGGTCTCGGGAGACGAAAAGAGTCCCGGAGTTCAGCTCAACTAGAAGCCATCTTTTACAAGCGGAAACTGAAGAATTGTATCATACGAAGAACGTATTGTAAATGAAATCGTGCAAGCCGCCTCTCCTTATGCTGTAGATTATCGATGGGCTTTGTGTTTTAACGTATTTGTAATCAACATCTTTTTATTGTTCGTTTAGCTGTAGAACTTTTTCTTTTGATTCGTCTGTAATCTTGAGATGCACCATTGCCCATCTGTAGCTAGTGTCATTTGATGAACTGAGTTCATATCTTGGATCTAAAAATTCTCATCTTTTAAGGCTGGATTAATGTTCATTTCTGGGTTTGTTCAAAAATTGTTTAAACTCCAGTAGATTACCGTTTAAAAGAGCAATTACAGTGGTTCGAGTTTAGCTGATGTGAGACTATAACATATTACAGTAGTTCGAGTTTAGCTGATGTGAGACAACATATTACAGTGGTCCAAGTTTAGCTAACTACAACAGATTACAGTGATTCGAGTTTAGCTGATGTGGGATTACAACAGATCACGATGGTTCAAGTTTAGCTGACGTGGAACTACAAGAGATGACGACAATGGTTTGAGTTTAGCTGACGTAGGACTACAACAAATGACAATGGTTCGAGTTTAGCTGACTTGGGATTACAACGAATGTGAATGCCATTATTAAACAAAAGATTTGGCATGTGGAAATCTTGAAATCTATAGGAGACCCAAGAGCTTCTGAATGTCCCTCTGTAAAAGAAACAAACAAAAAGCTATCAAAAATCAAGCATTCACATGTGAATATATGATGATGATCAGCAGAAGCAACCAAATTCGTTGTTTAAATAGCAAATTCATCAAAATGCACAAAGTTTTATACTTATTAAATGTAACGAAAAAAATTCAACATTTCCTTTTTATTACCCATTTTGACCGGTAATATGTTCATTTTGTAACATTTGATGACGTAAATAAGTGTTCATGAAAGGTCCATATGCTTTACATTCACGTCATCAAATGTTACGAGATTGGTAGGTTATCGGTCAAAACGGGTAAAAAACAGAATCAAATCAATACAAACTTTGTTGCATTTTGCCCTTGTTTAAAAGGGTATTTCTGGCTTTTACCTCGATCGTGAGAGGTGAAGTCGTGGGATAATAACGATCAACGGGCTGACCATTTTTATCGACCAAGAACTTGACGAAATTCCATTGAACGTCTCCCCCAAGGATTCCATAGAAACCCGACTTCAAGAACTCATACAGCGGTGCTGCATTCTCACCATTCACATCAATCTGTGTCAAAGATTGCATCAAAATTCAGCCTTCTTTTTTCATGTTCTTTCCCCTCTTTTCTTGTTTCAAACTCGAAACTCATGATGATACAGCTTACAGCATTCTCATCATTCACATATGAATAACTGATGATAAGTCATTTTTTCATGTTAGATTGTTTAGATTTTACCTTATCAAAGATGGGAAATTCTGATTTGAATCTGGTGCAAACAAAGTCTACAATCTCTTCATTGCTTCCTGGCTCTTGAGCCCCAAATTGATTGCATGGAAATGCCAAGATCTCAAAACCTACCATTCATACAGATCAAACCTTGAGGGTCAGCTCAACCGACAAATAAAGATCAGGTCTTGGGGCTCCTCCCTCCCATAGTTGCCCGTTCGAGTATCTTCAAGACCACAGGGATTCAGGTCCCATGGGATCAGTCAAGGTGCATGCAAACTGGCTTGGACACCCACGGTTACCCCCAAAAAAAGACTTTGCATGAACTTCGTTCTTGAATCAAGCCAAAGGTGTAAGAAACCATGGTTATAACAAAAACGCCATTTTAAAGATTCTTTGAACGTTTAAGCGAGTTTTGCAAACTTGGGGTCTTTACTGAAACAACCTCTCTATCATCTAAAATAGAAGCAAGAACTGCATACATTCTACCCCCAGACGCTATATGTCTCTGTGAGATATACTGGGATCATTTGATCTGGTTTTTGTTTGTTGAAGTGACATGACTGAAAAAATGGAACATAAACTTACAAACCTTGGTCCTTGTACTTCAAATAGATCTGATTCAATTCAGCATAGTTGTCATTTGTAAGCCCACTGCCACAAACAACCAACAAATAAGGTGCATGTTGTGATAGCTGAGCATGGTATGAATTTTTATATTTTGTTTTATTTATTACTCGTACAGTCGATCTATAATTTTGATAAATGTAACTATAGTCTTGATACAGGCAGTGGCGGATCCAGAAAATTAATGGGATGGGGGCACGTTGGATGGGACTTGGGGGAGGGAAGCATATGGCCATATGGGACTAGGGGAAAACCATGTAAGACGAGGGTGAACATAGAAAATTTAAGCTAGTCAACAAAGGTTTTTGGTTTTTGACAGGGGGCGTTTCCCGTGCTTAAAGGCGGGATCCGCCCCTGGATGGATACAAGTATCTATAGTCTTGTTATACCGCAGGGCCTCTATATACACGAGCTTGATTCTTTATCGTGAACGTGTAAAACAACTGCAAGAATGTTTGGAAAAAGAATAGCGAAGAACGCATACCATTTGGAGGCAACATTCACAATAAGTACAACTTTTCCTTTGTAAACGCTAAGGTCAACATCGTTTCCTTTGGCATCCTGCATCAAATTGATCAACGAGTCACCAAAAAAGGTGAAGATAACGAAGTTGTTTCCTATATATAAGAATATGTAGAACCCCGTTAGATTACTCTTCAAAAGATCCCTTAAAGACAGAATGGAGGTTCCAACATATATGGAGGAGAAATGTTGATGTCTAGCTAGTGTAGGACACTCTTAACACGCCCCCTCCAACAGAGGTTGTACAGACACAAATTATCCTAGAGTGTCGAGTCCGTAGCTCTATACCATGTAAGAATATGTGAAACCCAATTAGATTACTCTTCAACAGAGCCCTTGTGGAGAGAATAGAGGTTCAAATATATATATATAGAGAGAGAGGTTGGTTATTATACAACCCTTGACATTTGTGCAACTAATACAACTCAATCTCAACCGTCCATTTCATTTGATTAATATGTGATTTCATAGAAGTTTTCATTGTTTCCTAATATAAAGTATTGATCATAATTAATAAATCATATTCATCTTCCATATATATTCAAATCATAATAAAAGAACTCTCATCATTTCCATAAATATCTCAATTTATTAGGTTGCATTGATTGTACAAATACGACGGGTTGTATTTGAAACAAACTCTATCTCTCTCTCTCTATATATATATATGAAGGAGAAATAATCAAAGTCTAACTGATGTAGGACTCTAACAAACCCCCCCCCCCCAAACTGAGCCTAGACATGCACAAATTGTTCAAACAGTGTATAGTCATCAGCTATGATACCATGTAAAAATATGTGGACCCCATTAGATTACTCTTCAAAAAAGCACCCCATTAGATTACTCTTAAAAAAAGCACGGATGTTCCAAGAAATAGTCCAAGTCTAAGACAATTTAGGATTCATCACGCCCCCTACAAAAGAAGCCAAACAGGCACAAATTGTACCAGAATGTCGAGTCCTGATCTCTGACACCATAAAAGCCGTGCAGAAGAAAAAGTACAAACATATATATCAAGAAGAAATGGTCCAAATCTAGCAAACGTTAACGCCCACAAATGGAAGTAGTTCCCTAAAGGTGCACACACACTTCGATAACATGGAAGAAAGCTCATCATCAAGATTGGGTATCAAAAAGTTCTACTTTTCAACTTGAAAATTAACATGGATTTTGAAACCTTTCAATCGAAATTTTCTAACCAGATAAAACCCTATAACTAATATTACAAAAAACCCATATGAATTTGGCATCAGACATCAATTAACAGTACACAGAACTCAGGATCAAGAACAGCTATATCTATATCTATATATATATAATATATATAGTGAGAGAGAGAGAGGGGTGGGGTTTAGCAATATTGAACCTTGACTGTGAAATCGGCGAGTGATTTGTTGTTAGGAGTGAAATGGGCAGCCATGGATGATCGCTGGTGTAATATTGAAGAGAAATTGAGTTGAAATCGACAAAAAGACGATCGAATATATTTGAAGTCTTTGGAGAATTGAAAGACGAATGGGTGGATGCTAATAATATTCGCATTGGTGGCTCCGATTCCAAACGTCGCATCATTCTGGGGAATAAATTCCAAATTTCACCTTTTTCTTAAAACTTATAAAAAATATAAGGTTGTTTATTTACTTTTTAATAGTTACATTAAGATGTAGCATCTAAATCGTTAAAAGATGAATCTTGTTTGACAAAAAAAAAAGATTGCCTCTTAATGGTTCTAAAACCCTCTTAATGATTTTGTATCATGGATATCTCTTAACCATTAAGAGCCTTAATTTCATTGTACATAATTACCAAACAATTATATTTCATTTTGCAATATATCATGAGAGCCTCTTAATCATTATGACCACTTAATCATTCTGCAACAAACCATTGCTTAACCGAGTTTAAAATCGAACTCGGAATCTTTCTCGAGTCAAACTTAAAACGAAGAGTCGTGGGGCTATCGGCTCGAGCTTGAGTTAACATAACACCATCAAACCAAGACGAGCATGGTGGCTCTTTTGACAGGTTGGTATGACAGCGGAAAACGGTGCCTCAATTCCATTACGATTTACGGAAGCAGGAAGAGCATGAAAGCTAAGGTGGTCGACGAGGGACTCGACCATGGGTTACGACACTGAACATGCGTATCAACCGTCATGTCCGAATAACATTGTGAACGCATCGGATGCCCCGAAAAGACTGGGGATGGGTGAAGGTGACATGGTCGGTTTAACTCCGGTTTCACGACATCAAAGACAGCATAACGAATAATGTTCAATAAAATGCTATATTCCGATTCAACTTTTGGTCATTGTTAACGTCGCTTATCGTCCATGATTTCAATTATCGGTTATTGTGAATGTAGTTCGTAGTCAACTCTAGACTCGAACTCGATGGTCATGGTTATATTTGGGAAATTGGCCGATAAGTTGGCTGATAGCAACAAAACCGTACGCCGACAACACAAACTCAGAACAAACACGTAAGATGTCATTTTATTAATACAACGTCATTTAAACATAGATCACACGAAAACGCTTGAAACAAATCTTATCGATACCCGCGCTTATTTATCGCTAATATGGCAGAAGCGCACATCGAGGCCCGGGGGAACGGAACTTAAGCAACACCAAGCAGCTTCTTTATATCCTTCTGCAATAAGCCAAAAAACCAAACAAAAACTCATTCAAAATTTGCTTTCGGGGAGTCGATTTTAGAAAGATCGTGTTATGAAACGAGCTTTACCTCGATGCTGAGAGGAGTGGTGGTGGGAGCATAACGATCAACGACCTTCCCTTCTCTATCGACTAGAAATTTTGTGAAGTTCCACTTGATACTGTCGCCGAGAAGCCCGCCTTTGCTCGACTTGAGGAAATTGTACAAGGGCTCGGCGGTTTTGCCATTCACATCAACCTACATTAATCGAGCTTCCCAAATTAGGCCATTTTTGGTAAAAGTAGCTGAAACGATCTATACACACGTCTCATAATGTAACACCGACCTTGCCAAAGACGGGATACTCGGCTTTGAAGCGAGTGCAAACAAACTCCTGAATTTCTTCATTACTTCCTGGTTCTTGCCCGTTAAACTGATTGCTCGGAAACGCAAGAATCTCCAAACCTACAAAATCACAAAGACGGATACGATTACTCGAGTGATAACAAGCCAAAAGCGTTAACGGAGGAGATCTCGAGAGCACCGGGAAAAACCGACCTTGATCCTTGTACTTCTGGTACAAAGTTGTCAGCTCGGGGTAATTAGAATTCGTAAAGCCACTGCATCACAAAAACGTTCGATAAATAAGAGAACTCGTCAACAAGTTCTTCATCAAGAAAGGTACACAAAAAAAGGTTCAAAAAAGAACTTAAAAACAAGAAAGACGGTGCTAAAAGTTATATTCGTTGCCCCTCGGGCGTTTAGCTCAGTTGGCAAGGGGGCGGGGCGACTTTGCTCAAATACACAAGGTTCAAGTTCGAATCATGCGGGGGACGGGCTTGAACCCCTCCACTGTCCTCAGCCGCTGAGTCAGCTCAGAAATGCCCCCTCACATGTGGTTCCTAGGGGGCGGGTTCCGTGTTTGGCCACTCGGGGTTGCCAGTGTTCAACCTTTTGCTCAAAAAAGTTACATTTTTCGCTGTTAACATAAACCGACAGCAAACTTATAGCTTACCATTGTGATGCAACGTTAACGATCAGCAAGACTTTCCCCCTGAACTTGCTAAGATCCACATCTTGACCCTTTGCGTCCTGAAAGAAAACGAACCGAAAAACGGGGACATTTAGCTTACTGACGTTATATAGAACTGAATTTAAGAATCTAACCCTCGGTGCATTCTCAAGTTTTCACGGGGCAGACTGTTCTACGCTAGAGGCTCGTTTACCACCGATATCGAGGCTGTTTTACATAAAAGATTTATACGGGTGATAACCCATGATTATACCCAAAATACCAATTGTTATTTTTTGCTAACCGTTGGTATCCGGGTCAGCTTACTCGCACCTCGACTAACCCCAAATGCATGACTCGAACCGCTCATTAGAAGCCCCAAGCTAACCCACAAGTTAGCTAACGATAGTATTCGAAAATCTTTTTCTTGATACGAAATTTAAGCAAAAGGTTGATAACGTGCAACTCCGTCCCGCCCCGCCCCACATGGAACCACATGTGGGGCGGGGCATTTCAGAGCGACTCATTCGCCGAGGCTAGCGGAGGGGTTCAAGCCCGTTTCCACAAGATTCGAACTTGAACATGTGGTGTATTTGAGAAATTCGTTTCACCCCCAACCGAACTACAAGTCCGACGGCAATTAGGAACGAGCTTAAAATGGATTTATTTTCAATATCATTCACATATGAATATGCTTAGGCAATTAGGAACGAGCTAAAAATGGGTTTATTTTCAATAACCTTCACAAATGAATATGCTTAGGCAATTAGGAACGAGCTCAAAATGGGTTTATTTTCTGTAACCTTCACAATATGAATATGCTTGCTTTCACTACATTCACCGTTTCAAGTGACGATCCATCCATCAAAACCCATAATCAAAAAACACAGAATAACGAGATCAATCTCAAATCTGTACATCTACACATGATTTCCCACAAACCCACAATCTTTAATCGACAAAAATCGTTTCAAAAACCCTAGAAACGAAAGATAAAACGAAGTTCACAGACCTTAACGGTGAAGTCGTAAACCGATTGCTTCGATTGAGTGGCCATGGATCGATTTGATTGGAAACCCACCACCGGCGTTCTGTTCGCACCACAGAATCTTGTGGAAAACCAAGATCTTTTCGAACCTATCGGATGAGAAATTGAAGAAATCGATGAAATTTTCAGAGAATTCAAGAGGGGTTTTGAAGGAACTGTTAGAATTCTTTGAGCAATGAGATTATGGAACACTCGAACTGATAGAGACGACATGGAGGAGGCTTTATTTATAACAGTGGTGAAAGAAGAAATCATGAAAAGGGTAAAAACGAGTGGTTTTTTTGTTTGATTCCTTTGTTTTCTTTGCTATTGTTTATGTGTGTGATTATGGGGTTAGATACGTGGCCGATTCGGGTTGTGATGACGTGGCGGTGGTGGCGGTATGGAGCCGGCGAGGTGGTGGTTGGACGGTGGAGATTTGGGTGTTTGGATGATCTAACAGTTTGGAATCATCATGGGTGTGAATGCAAAGCATCTTGGTGTTTTAGCTTGAATGTTTGATAAAATCACCCTTTGGGGTTTGAAGTGTTTACAGTTTTAGTCCTTAGTTTCAAGATTTTAAACTTGTCATGTAAATCACCGCTAACCATGTCAGATATTGTCAACTTTATCTGCAACTTGACTGGGGTTCTAAAACATAACTGATAAGGAGGTTACAGATGTTTTCAAGTTGAATTCGAAGTTATTATGTCGGTATACCGTTTTGGACTTGAGTTGTTATAAGTGGTATTGGAGTTGGGGACCGAACTGGTTTGTCAGCGATAACGTTTGGCTTCAGGGAGGGTGGATTGTGAGATCTAAGATCAGTTGGGGAGGATAAAAGATGTTATCTTATAAGAGATTGGATACATATTCTATCAGACGCGTTTTAGAACCGTGAGTCCAGAGATGGATAAACGCAGACAATATCAAGATACAGATGACCGAAGATGGTTACATGTCATGTATGTCATTATTTAAAGCCTCGATAATAAAGATTTTTTAGCAGGGACAATGACCAAGAGTCTTACCCGGTAAGTGAAAAGCGACGACTCTTACCACAGTAAACGCTTACCAAGTAAATTGTTGCATACGATTCCGTTTTTGTGAACTAAGATTTTACCCTGTAAGTAACTGATAATGTTAAATTTTACCGGTAAGCACTTAACGGATAAGTGTTTGGTAAACGACCCTTAAGTCATTTAAAATATATTGTACCAAAATTAGGATTTATTTTTCAAGAAATGATTTTTATATTTTGTTTTTTAACATGTTTGCAATTTTCATACCGGTTTAAAGTAAGTTATCATGATTAAATCATTCGTAGCTTTTTACATATTACATAAAAGTATGTAGTAATATGGTTTTTCAAACGTAATACTATACATGTTTTTTATAAAATGACATAACGACATTACTGGTGAAATACTGCATTATAAAACATTTGACATAAACTCTCAAAAACCATTTCTTATGTATGAAGTACTGTTCATTGATGCATATTACTTACAATTCAAGATTACAAGTGAATTGTACGTAGATACAACTTATTAAAGTTTCATTTTTGAATTCATGTAACTAGTAGAAAATAAATATAATCAAATATAAGATAAACATTTCATATTAAATATATATTTTTAAATATAATAGAATAATCGTTGAGTTATAAATAAATTTTAATTATTATTTTTATAAAAATATTATATTATTAAATAAAAAATAAATTATATTGTTATTGAACGTAAATCAAATTATAATAAGAAAAATTGAATTAAATAAATTATAAATAAAAAAACAAGAACTCTTAAGTAGTTAATTTGAAACTGATATCGATATATATATATTTTTTTGATATATTCAAAATTTATATTTCATTCAAAAATAAAAACATTATCCGGTCTCAACAACAAAATCGTTATGTTATTTCATAAACATTATATAATTTTAGAATGATACTCGTATAATGCAGCGAAATACATCTTGATTTTAAGATAATGTTTTTATTTTTAAATAAAATATAAATTTGAAAATAATATAAAATTTTGAAAAAAATATATATATATCGATATTAGTATCAAATTAACTATT